GGAAGATGTTTTGCTGCTACTAAACGTGCTTAACACCATTTCTTAAAAATGAAACTGCATTGTCAAAATAATGCTCACAAGTTTTTGATGTTAAAATAAAAGATTACCAACCACTGAGAATTAATCTCAAACAGTGGTGACGGAAACAATTCAAATGTTTCAAAATATTTTGAGGAATGAGTTGTGTAATTGAAAACGTACCCAAATAAGACGCATTAAACTAAGACACACTAAAATGAGAATGCGCTCAAATGAGAACACACTCAGATGAGAACGCACTCAAATGAGACGCGCTAAAATGAGAACACACTCAGATGAGAACGCACTCAAATGAGACGCGCTAAAATGAGGCGCGCTAAAATGAGAACACACTCAGATGAGAACGCACTCAAATGAGACGCACTCATATGCCCTCCTGATGGTTGTGAGAAGTAGACATACTTTTAGAAATTCAAACAAATCTTTCAAAGACTCTTTTAAAATCCTGTTATAGACAAAAGTTTTGAGCTGACGTCCCAACTCTTGGCGAAGACAGTAGAGCTCTCCATCGTCTATTTAGCAGAAGGTTATTCAAAATAGCGCAAAGATCATTCTATTTTTAAATGTATAATAGTATCTGTGATATCGACTGTACGTTGTTGATGGCGACTAATTTCTTTGTACGTACAGATGCTGTACCTTCATTAACACAACCACATCTTATACATTTTTAGACATGCAGCTTGTAAGTTGCATCCATGTAGAGATACAAGTGAATCAAGAAATATGTATTAATTTATCATTCACAACATAGATACTAGGAATCATGAAGTTTATATATTAAAGAAAACTTGCGATATGTTGTTTAGAACGCATTTATCTAACCGTAGTAGAAGGTATGAAATGGATGCTGTAAACTAAGCGTGTCCGACTTGTAAAAATGGACTAGACTTGGATGATGATTCTTTCTGTGAGTCAAAATGGAACAACAAATATAATTCCTGAGTCACAATTTTCGAGAATTACATGAATCGATCAGAAAGTCTATGTGGAAAAATACTGCAAGATATACAGCAGTTCTCTCGAGCGAGCAGAAAACTATTTATCAACTATCTCTATCCTCTGATATATGAGGTGAATGAACATGATCTATAATCATGTTTTCGGACAACACAAATTGTTCAGAGAATTTGTTAGTAAGTAACCTTTTACATAAACGCAAAAGCGATTGTTCCTTGTATGAAAATATTTTATCGCTGCTAAAAGCTACAATCCACCATCTCACGTATGGTTACAAGATAAAATGCCTACCTAAACATGAGAAATCCAAGTGATTCGACAGCGGATCGTCTCACATCATCATTAACATCGCTGACCTAGAAAATGGCAAAAAAAAATTCTTTAAATCTATTTACATATGTATAATGTTTTTCTTAAAACTGACTAACCGCTACATGTAACAATTTTCGAATAGCAGCATTATTCCCTGTTCCACAATAAGCCATTCCAACTGTATACATTGCTGAACGTCTCAGGATTGGATCCTTATCACGATTTAATTGTTCGATAAGTGGGTCAGCTTCCTCCAAACGACCATATTGAACGAGAGCAATACCAATTGCTAAACCACGTAAAATTTTTTCATGTTGAGTTTCTTGAGCATACTGAAATGACAGGAAACAAAGATATTACGTAAACACTGATAACAATCATGTGACAATTAATGACGTGCTATGTGCTTGCCATCCTGCTAGTTTTTTTGATGAAATGTAGAACTTTTTGTTTTTGAAAAAAACCGAGAAATGTCAAGTGTTATTGAAAGCAGATAACTGTCATCTAGACAGTTCAAGTTAACTTTAACAAATTTATTCTTACTTGAACCATATCGTCGATAGCTTGAGCTGATCCAGTTCCTAACATGACTAAGCCCATAGCAATACCAGCGGCTTCACCTGAAGTATATAATTAATAACATATTTAATATTTTGTCCTGGTATGCGAATCGAAATGACGTAAACCTGTGACGGCATCTTCCAAAAACAAATTTGTTTTCAATAATTCATAGACATCACTACGTGCTGTGCCCATTGCAGCTAAACCTAATCCCAAACATGCACCATGTCGAACAGTCTAAACATTGGTAAAATAGACAGACGTTATTATATTTTTCAATTTCATTTTTGTCTAATAACTTACATCTGTCTGAGGTGCTTGTGTCGCACGTAATTGATTCAATAAATAGTCCATAATGTCTCCACCATGATTAGCATGAATTAAACCAAGCGCATAGAGACCACCACCTTCAGCATATGGAGAATTGCCCATCGAGTCCTTTGGTAAATAGGCGCTCATCAAATTCAATGCTTCTTTAATATGACCCTAAAAACAGATCTATTGTTTTAATTTAAAATTGAGAGATAAAAAAATATTGAAACAAAGTTCTCTTTATCGGTAGTTTACTCTTTCATAACGTTGTATTGTTGTATAGAATGAACTGGAAAAAGTATTGGTTTTCTATCAAACTGTGTCTTCAAATACGCATTATGTTCTAGAGAGAATCTTTGCATTAAACTGAGCAGAAAAAAATGTTTGTATTTCGCATATTACTTTGAGTGAAAGAATACGACTTGCTTTTGTGAGATGATAAATTGTTTTTTTTCTCAATTTACCTTATGAATGACACCCAAGCTTGCTGCTGCTGTGAACTTTGCCCAATTCGTTGCTCGTGCTAACCATTCGAGATTATCTCTATAAAAAAACAGATTAAAAAAATTAATGCTCATAAGTCTCAGATGCAAACAAATTACCTAAAAAATTGATCACTAGTTGTTCCACAAAGCATATATCCATTGGCTATCACTGTTGCCGTATGACATACAGAATTTCGAACTGCATCCTAGATAAAAAGTAATATTTTTCAATGTATTTAACTTTAACATTGTTGTGCATATGACGTACTTTGACTTGTTTGAGAATAAGAAGATCGGCATGATTATTTTTAATTAAAAATTGCATATGTAAACCGATTGTTATATCGCCACTTAAAATTGTCAACATTTTTTCTATACGTTCCTGTAATTTTTTTTGGTCTTGAGGCTAAAAAGAACAATAAAAAACCAATGTTAATTCAGTTATAACATTGTATAGTTGTTGAGTAGTTTCTCACCAAACTATCCACTTTTTCCTTATGTTCTTGTTGAAGTAGTTTTGAATCTTTCACTACTAATGTTGTTGTAGATGCATTTGAATCATTTGTTGCTGATGTGGGTGTCCCTTTCTCATCTTGATTTGTTTCCATAGCTTCGACTTGATTTGAAGTCGATGATCTGTAATATAGGAAATATTCTTTTTATATTGCATAAAATTTTCGTCAGTTTGATAAAAAAAAACAGTCTAATTTTAAAATATGCATACGTTTGAGTTTGTTGTTCATCTTTTTTTTCAACAACAATTGGTATTGGTGCTTGCACTCTTAATGAATCTTGAATTTTATTTAGAAATTGTTGTGTAGCACTCTCATATAAATCAAAACCAATTTGATAAGCCATTAACATTTGATCGGTTGTACCCCGTACCAACGTTTGTAAAATATCAGCTACAGCATCAGGATCATCCAAAAATATCAAACACTAAAATAAAATAATAAAGCATTAGATGATGTGAAAAGTCAATAGACAATGAGTCATTTGACCACACTGAACAAGAATCAAATAAATTACTACAATGCAAAGTATGCAAAAAAAACAACTTTGTAATTTTTTAGTTGTAACTGACGTAGAATATGTATGGGTACAGCCTTTAAAAGACTTTCTAAAATCCTAGTCCTTCAAAATAAAGCTAATTAATTCGACTCAAAGTAAATGGTATCTAAACTGATATATTTTCTTACCTGACAAACGTTAATAAAATCTGGTACATGAAGATTTAAATATAACTTTACTAATGTACGTAACACAACTGTACGAAATTTTCGATTTTGTAATAATTGCATGGTAATTTTAAATGCGTAAGATAATATATCGCTGGTATTATTCTGAAAAAATAAGATTAGTCATGAAATAACCACAAGTAGAGATGAATAGATGAGCTCAATGGCTATTAGAAAAGAGCATATCATTTTTATTTACCGATTCTTTGATTGCTTTTTCAAATATATCAATTCGACGTGTTTCAAGTGCAATACCAATTGCCTGTAAGAATACAAAAAATAAGAGTATATTTTCTCCCTTCATTGATCTAATATTTACTTGTTTATATTTTTTATCATCGAAACACCGTTGAAACATTCTGTTGACAATATCTTCTAGACGATGATCAACATTCACGGATGACTGTTCACTTTGAAATTTTTCCACTTGAAATTTTGTATATTTATCAATACAATGAGCTAGAAGAAAAATTAACACGTTGTATGCATAAAAATATAATAAAAACAAAATATTACAAATAATTGTTTCGACATATTCTGTTTTATCATTGACATCAAATAATCTCCCAGCACCAAGTGCATAGGATAAAGCATTATCAAATGAACCAAGATGATAATAAACCTACGAATAGAATAAGATAAACAACGCATAGATCATATGCATAAACCACGAGAGAAATAAATAATGTTGTAAAAAGAACATCAAAAATGTTTTTACAGCGTACTTTCCATCCGTACATTTCTGTTCAACATCGGAAAGTACCGACGTTACATGCAACCGGTAGCATGGACTTAGTTAGTATGAAGTATTGTTTTTGATAGACAGAACATATCTGAGACTGAACAGATCCAATACGTGAGCATCTTCAACAGAAATAGCTGTTTTCTTACTTTAGATGAAACAAGAGCAGCTAATTCTCGATGTTTAAATGTTTCTTCTTCATACAATGATTCACTAAAAACAAAACATAAACACGGCGTAAAATTACAAATTATTGAGCTATTCGGGAACATACACTTTTGTAACAGAGTCAGCAATTTCAGCCCAAAATACATCAACTAATGTGTTTAATTTATTCAATGCATATATTTTTGAATTTTCATTATGTTCATCTAACAGAGATAAAATACCGCCTTAAAATAAAGAAAATAGAACAGTGTAATGTTAGTTTCATAACAGAGGTAACTTGCATTGACTTACCTGCAGACGTAATTGATATCTGCATAATTGGATAGTTGCTAATGATATTTAGATTTTGTCTGAAAAAAAGCAAATTGAAGTATTACACGTAAAATCACACAATATATGGTAGGTTTTAACAAGATTCATCACATAATACAGTTAATACACAATATGTCTCTGGAAAAGCGGCACAGAGACAGTTATTTAAAATGTTAAAAACATTTTATAGAAAGAATACAAACTCCGGTATTACAGCAACAATAAAAGTGAATTTTTAAACTATTCAGTACACTACGTTGGGAATGTTCTAACTGCTAGTGGAAAAACATGTTTCCAAACATTGAGTCATTATTTACCACGATGACTTATTCTAAATAAGAAATGATAGTCAACTGAAAAACTTTAAGTAGTGATATGTTCCTTACGGATTGTATTTCTTATCAATTGTATTCTTATCAAGCGGTTTTAATGAAAAATTGGTTCTCGGTAGATAGTCTCTTGATATTTTTAACAAAAACAACGAAACAGCAGAGCTGTTCAACAGTTTCCTTATTAACTCAAAAACTAGAGACCAACTGTACTCCACAAAGAACGATATTCAACTGGAAAACTTTAAGGAGTGATACGTTCCTTACAAATTATATATAGTAACGAACGTGAAGATTTAATGTCACAGGTCTGACTGAGCAAATGACTCACTATGCCAGGCAACTAATATGAGTAATAGTTATAGATTATTTATCTCATCATAGAGCAATCACGTGAGCATTGCATATATATCGTACAGCGTCTATGCACTATTAGATATTACCGATCTATTAATAACCAAGTAGAAGAAAAGGAACAAAGTTTGTAATAATATTTGAAATAATTAGGCGATAATCATAGCAGATCTAATGTAAGAAAGAACTCTCGAATCGTTCATCTAAAGCTGTTGTATATCAGAAAAAGTCTTTGCTCAAACTCAAACCGTCAAAAAATTGAGAACGAGCGACTGACTCAAAGGAAATAAATATGTCAGAAGAAATGGCAAAAACAGGTAAGAAAAGGCAAAACTGATTGATGTCCAAGATATATGATAAGGTGCCGATAAATGAAAGTCTATCGCAAAAATTAATAGAGAATTAACCTTACTGGAAAAAGCGACCAATGGCTGAACCATAAAAAGGTTTTATTTTCTTGAATAATATAAGAATATAAGCTGAAAAGGATATGACCGCTACTACTGGTGCTTCCAAAAGTGATAATTCTATGCTACTGATTCATTTTCTTCTGCCTTTCTAGAGGGTGTTATTAGCAGTCTTGTTTGTCATATCATATAGGGTCGCTATCTACCTCCATGAAGGGTATATAAGGCACTAGGGCGATGTCTGTTTCAACATGTTCCGCATTTCTCTTTACTATAAAACAACTCAATCAAACAAATTTAGGTAAATTGAACTTCAATTTTCTTCTAACACTTCGAATTACCTAAGAAAAGTCAATAGCACATATTGAAATATAATTTTAATAATGTATGTAGTATAGCTTCCATAAGCTAAAAATTGTGCACATTATATTAAGTGTACAAAATTTTATGGACTATCTAATCAGAGAAAGCAATTTATTACTTTTTAACTCATACTTATTATCAACACAGAATTCTATCTACTCGAATAACTGCACAACTCACATGTAATCCAAATATATCCAATTGTTTTCAATCCGTTTAACTTTTCAAGTTTTACATAGCCATCTCTATTCAACAAACTACTTTAATCAGTAATTAACGTTGTATTAGTTTGTATGTAGCTTTTTACAGCGTTTTGTGTAATAAAAATGTTGTTTAAATATGTACGAAATCCCATTTAGCGGTTCGTCAATGTTGAACTTTTCAGAAGTCACTTAGCAAAAGATTGCTATCTATTCTAATGCTGCGAATTAAAGTGAAAAAAGAATTAAACTCAATTATTGACTGTATGCAACTGAACCGTTTTAAACTACTGTGCCAAAAAAAAAGATTGTATATTTGAACATTTGATGATTTGATGATTTATTTTGCCAAAAGAGTGCGAGAGAAATTATACATAGCAAAAAGACTGTAATAACATGTGTTCTATTTTACTTATACAAAAAGTATAATGCATGGACATCGAAGACATGGTCGTGCATTAAAGCATCACATTAACTTAGCTTGTCCACGATCTTCAAGTTTCTATTTGCCCATTTACTCTTGTTGTTGACGCTGTGTTTCAGTCAAATGATGTCGAAATTTTGGATGATGATAACCATTGTTAGCGAGATTTAATTCATGAAGTAAATAGAGTGTGCTTAAATCATCATTTCGTTTGAAAAAATCATTACCAGATACTGAGTCTAAAGATTTTTTAAAAAAATCACTACCGGATAATGCATCAAGTGTACGTTTCTAAAATGAGAACCCAAAAAAATTATCTCAGTTGCTGTTAAAAGTTGACCACATATCTTAGATTTATGGTAATAGAACCAACAATACCAGAAGATATTTAGGCATAGCGCGTAAACTGTGTCTCCTTATTCCATTGAGTTTCAGTTTAGGAGCCAAGATGATAATGTGATTAGACAAGCTAATCAGATTTACTCGACCGATTCCGATCAGATACATGTCATTTCCCTGATAAATTCTTCGCCTGCAGACGGTTTTTGGTTGGACATCAGTAATAAATCCGATCGTTTTTGATCGTCTGAACTGGCTGGATCTGTTTCCTGTGAGAAACTGGAATGGGGCTTGTCGGATTCGGCAAATCCGATGAAATCATTTATTAAGTTTTCCGGTGCCGATGAGTTTCGGTGGTAAGAATGATCTTGAGATACAGCAGAAAAAATCAATCTTACGCTTTTAAAAGAACAAAACACAGTATATTACAAATTCAAAGGGGAAATTTTAATAGATTTAATTAAGTGAAAATGCATTAAGCACTGCCGTTGTTGGGTATGCACCAGCTATAGATGAGTTATCTCCGACTGTGTTTTTTTTAAAAATCTTTATAATACGGTTATTAAAAATTGTCCCGATTTGCAAAATGTATCATTTTGTAGACAAATGTCTGGTGTAGCTATTTATATCGAACACAAAATTAAAGGATAAAAGAGAGAAGTATTTTTAACGAATGACTGCAAAGACAAGGACAGCGTAAGTGGTGAGTCGTTATGATATACTATGATATTCTACATTGGATTGAAAATTATTTATGGGGAAAATGCTCGGAGAATTTCAAAGAGTACCTATGGGAATTTCTCGAGGATTTTTCAGTTTATAGAAAATCGAATTTCCAACAATCTAGGAAATCGTCCTTGAATTTCCGTACCAAGAATCTGGAAATTCCTCCTTAATTTTTCAGTTTGTTAGAAAATTGTCATTGAATTTTCATAAATAATTTTCAAGAAAGTAGAAATTCCTTTTTGATTTTCTATAAACTGGAAATTCCTTGGCGGATCTGCACCGAGTGGCGGCGCGACCAGGTTGTATGGGGGTTGACCCCGCTCATGCCGCTGATGAATTTCAGGTGAATGTCTCCGGTTTTTGGACCTTCCTACCGAAACTTCGCGCCCCCACTGTCTCTGCCTAAATCAAATCGTTTTGCTGGCATAGACAGAATTGTGATCTAAATTAGAAACTGCCAAAGTTGATTTAAGTGTAATATGAGTGTCTTTATGTGACGCTCTTATACCTACACTGATTGCAAAACAAAAATATGAATAAGTATTTGGCCTAGAAATTCCTGGGCAAATTTCCACTTTCTAGAAAATCAAATTTATGGAAATTCAAGTCGATTTTCTATAAAGTAGAAAATCAACATTTCCTAGAAAGCTGGAAATTCGTCGAGAAATTTCTATAAACTAGAAAATCTCCGGTGATTTTTCGGTCGATTTTCTATAAACTGGAAATTAATCCAAGATTACAGTGTAAGATTGCTCATATTTATGCCACAATTAAGTTTTTCACAAGTAAACTTTTTTTCTTCCAATAAATACATAGAACAATATTTTTATACAAAATGAGACATGTCGCAGCACGGGACGATTCTTAAGGGTATCCCTCCCTTCATTTTGGGCTTTCTGTAGAAATGCTTTGAAATAAAAACTAAAACTCACTTAGGCTTCATATTTTTAGAACTGACTGGAAACTCAATGGCGCACATTTTCGTTTTTGTTTCAAGTTTTTAACTATTGCCGTTCACCAGTTTTCCAGAAAACTCGGTTTTTCATTGAACCACATTACGACCCCCCTTAAATTTCATCCGATCGAGTTCCAAAAATTTTACCCGAGGTACTCAAGGTAATAATCACGTTATAACGGTTTCCTAGATGCTCTGATATCAGTTATATAACTGATGTATATACCAAGTCGTTTACGTACCTCATCGTCTCGTTTGAAGAAGTCATTTCCATTTACACTGTCCAAATTCTAAATAGAACAAAAACATTCAAAAAGAATTGTTGATTTCAAGTCTTTTTGACTTTAATGAGTACCTTTTTGAAAAAATCATTGCCAGTTACTGAATCTAAAGATTTTTTAAAAAAATCACTGCCGGATAATGCATCAAGTGTCCGCTTCTAAAACGAGAACACAAAAAATATATCTCTTTTAACCTTGAAAGCTGACTACTAATATATAAAGTCATAATCGACGAGTTGACTAAATATTGTTGTGAAATAGAGCACACGACTTATAAATGAGCGATTTATCAAGGTTTTTTTAATAATCTAGAAGATTAAATATTATAAGGATACATCAATGATAAATTTTCTTTAATTATTATAATGAGCTGTTAAAAAATACTAGTCTATGATCGATTGAGGTGTTTCGAATATTGACCTTTATACCACTTAATGTAACGATCACAATTTTTCTCATTTATTTATTTTCGAGGTTCTTTCTCGTTAGAAACAACATTTCCAACCACTTAACAGAGAATATTTAATAATACTCTGCAAAACATGCCTCTAGAGAAGAACTCAAGTTCTCTCAAGTCTATGTACGTCAACGTAGTACATTTGTGTCATATGTAAATATCAATGATTTACTTCAGAAACGCTGATTTGGTATTTCTCTCCGTGGAAAATCTGACGACTATTAAAAATATTCCATTTCTACGTCAGAATTCACTTACAAAAATTTTATTATAAGCATGAATATTTTAAAGAGGCATCTTCAACACTGCGACAACATTTCACACAATAGTATCACTATTATAGTACAGTCATTTTGAACATACATTTCTCCATGACTTTTATTTCTCACGAGACTATTTTTTATTTTTCTTAGAAAACATGAAAAACCATGTTTTCCTTTTCCTCAGACGTGCTTCGTAAGGCGGGAAAAATAATAATGTTTTGTTCCGTTTTCTTTAATATTTAAAAATAAAAGCTTTTAAATGTCATTTAAAGATAATATTGTACATAACGATTGATACAACATGTCCTTCTATTTGTAAAAAAAATGAGCGAAAACATTTTTTCTCAAACAACCTTAAGTTAAAATGCGTGTTTTTTCCTGATTTTTAAACAACCTATAGAAATATTTTTTTTAGACTCTTGTTTCCTTTATGAAATAGCAGATTAAGAGCAAAAATATCGATTTTAAAATTGATACATGGTCTGATAACCCAAAATGTCTACTTCATCTACACTATAATTTATAGGTTTTACGATGGTTTTTGAGAGTTTACAGAGATTTTTCTGAAACACTCCAAATCTAAAAAAAGGTTTTTACAAACTTCCTATATGCTCCACATATCTAAGGACGTGTCCATTCGAAAAATCTGGCTCTGTGAAGGCATTTTGCTAGCAGTCTAGAAAAAGTCACATTTGTGATATAACGTTTAAAATGATTATAACTCTATCAGAAAACATGGTGAAGAGCTGGGAGACATCTCATTTTGTAGAAAAATCTTTACTTTACAAGACTGACTGTTTTAAAAGTTTATCAAGTACTGAATGAAAGAGAAAAAAGTTTCGAAAGTAAAAAGATAGGGTTTTTTCAGTGTAAAGTAACAAATTTTAAAAAGTTCGTATCTCCTCAATGGAAGGCCTTGGAGAGCTGGGAGAAGTCTTATTTTGTAGAGAACATTTTACTCTATAATTCTATAATGTATAATATTTAACTCGAAAATTTAAAAAATTCTAAAAAGTCTAAAAAAAGAGGGATTTGATTTAATTTTCTCTGACAGTGCACATTAGGATTCGACAATATGTACACCACTGGATAGAGGAAGTCATCCTCTACAAACCTATATATATCAAAGTCAAAGGGTTAAAGTCGCTTTTTCTTTTTTCTCAGGGGAATATCAACTCTCAAATTAAACTTCTTCTTTTACCTTTTCTTCATCGGCACCAACAACAAGAAGTGTGACAGCGGCTAATAAAAAATATACAATGGTATTGATAAATGACATAATTATTCTCTTTGTTGATGATGTTAATCAAATCTAAATTTCTTTTAAGGAAATAAAATTATCGATGCGTTTTGTTGGCTGTAAATAATTTCTAAATGTAAATGGTTTTAACATATATATATATATATATCTATGTATCATTTTTTTTGTGACATAGATCGATTTTGTTCATTTTTTTTACGTTTCTAAAGAGAGAAAAGGAAAAATATCTGAATTCTCTTTAAATTTTTTTCTAAGTATTAGAACTGATGTGATTTTTGTCGATGTGATGATATGAGAAAATTGTTAATTCAATCAAATACTGATCGTTGTCGTTCGATAATCTTTACACAATTGAAAAAAAGAAAATGATTTTTGTGTCAGTTAATCATAGTTTCGCTTTCTCGCTTTTCCTCGATATAATGATGGAATAATTGCCTTTGTCTTTCTCTCGATTGTTTTCTTTTTTAACAATCTCTTTGGCCAGTTGAACATGTGACGATACCAATGGTAATAAATTTCGACAAGTGTAATATACTTAGATTACATTAGTCAGTAAGAACGATAAGTTTCCTCTTCTTTTATGAAATATTTTGGAAAGAGATGCCAAAACCAATATTGTTGCAAATAAAAAAATAACAGAGAGTCCGGAAGTTAATAATAATTTAAGGAAAAAACAAAACGTAAATCTGTTTTTAACAAATAGCTAAAGGCTTCATAGTTTTAAATGTTATGTTTGAGAGAGAGAGAGAGAGAGGAGAACTTTAAAAGTCAGGCGTATTCTTGCACTTCTAATGTTTATTCTAGTGTAAAAAATTATCAACTTCTTCATCGTCCATTAGTCAGTAATGGATCTATGATATTTTTACACCAGACAAAATTATAGCTCAAAAAGAATTAAAAGTTAACAGTTTTTTTTTCTGTTTTGTTCCATACAATGAAATCAACATTAATTATTAAAGATTTGAAGAATTTTTATTTTCTTCACATAATCGATCTTACAATATTCGTTTTTTAATAGACTACTTAAAATCAAATTTATATGCTTGTTTTTCAGATTTAAAGTTGCTTATCTCTCTATTCTGTTGTTGTTTTTTTTGTTGATAAATTAGAATATTCTCGTAAATTTTCAAATAAAATCATACATATTATTGTTGCATATGTTCTTCGATTGATTTATCACCGGTGCTTACTGCCAGAAAATGAAGAGTTCTATTAATTAAGATAATTTACAACTATACAATAAATTTTCTACTTTTTATTTATTATCGTAGTTACTTGCTCAATTAGAACTGATATTAGTGAAAAAAAGAATAAAGTATTTTTGAGTTATTGAACAGCTCTACATCATAGTTGAAAGACGAAAAAAGTTTTAATGTTGCCATGTTAATACCATTAAGAAAACGGATTGCTTCTTTTATTATGTAAATATTGTGTGATTCACTTTAAGAAAAAAATATGAGCAAGATTGTAACTAAAATTTTTTTTATGAGATAGTACTAAGAACTTAAAATTGAACAATCATTCCATTGTCTAAAAATGCACAAAAAAAGCTCACCATGAAAAATTTTTATATGCCAAAAAGTGAAGTTGAAATTTTTTTCTCCCACTTTTATCTATAATCAAAAATTTATTGAATGATTATTTCCAATAGCATAGATCTTGAAATAACCGAATAGAGATGTGCACGGATGCAATTTTCAAATTTGTATACGACAACTTTGTAACAGTATCTGAAAATGCACAAGTAGAAAAGCATCCTAAAACACTAGAGAATCAATAGTCTGACATACTTCCACTGTTCTCGGAAACATTCATTTCATATACTCAGAAGATAAATCTAAACATGATATTGAATATTTAGATTATTGTATATTACAGGGCCGACTATCCTTACCTTAGAGTTTGAGACATAACGTCCCATCTATCATTTTGTACCACGTGTAGAAGTCGCATTATTTTGGGTGGTATGAAATGATTTTTTCTAAGTGCTCTTCCTGTTGTGCTTGTAACTGTAAAGATTCCTCTCCTAATTGCCTTGATGTAAACAGAGTATGAGAAGAGACGCAATCTCGCTGATGAGTATCGACAATGATTTGTACTTTGTCAGTTCTGATACGTAAAAAAAGAATTATTGGTCAACCAGGAATTTTTGCCCATTGGGCCAGTTCTCATTAATAAAGGAATGGGTCAAGTTACAAAAATCCAGAAAAGCACTGGATCCAAGACGTTTTTCTACAACTTTAACTAAGAAATCACAAATTTTGAAATCACACTAGGCTATTTCAAAATTTCATTGGACTATGGCCCAATGCCTCCTCGTAGTTGCGTCATTGTTTTTGGTTCCGTTTTTTCGGATACTCATGTAAGAGAGAAACCGATTCTTTCCTTTCCTCTTTCATTTCAAGTCTCTCGTTTTATCAGATAATTTCTAGAAAAATTGTTCTCAAAAGTTAATAGACTTCATTTCCGTTTGTATTCTAATATTTTAGGAACTATTAAGACTTTGTATTGTGTAAATGTTTAATACTTTCCTATGACCTGGGAACAGTTATAATGTAACCCGTTTTTGTAACGATGTTTTTTTATATATGATTATATAGATTCTATTCGTTTTTCACTAAACTTGTTTTGGGAGAGAATTTTTAAATATGAAACAAATCTTTATTATACACTTCTGTTTTTATGCAAGGCATTAGTAACTCTGGTATTCCAAAAACTTCTTCCCTCTCAGCTTACAAAATCTTCTAACTATTATACGAATATCGTTTTTCTAGAAATTATCTAATAAATAATAGCTAACAGTTCCAGTTCTTAAATTGATAACAGTTCGCGTTCTTTTGAGCGAAAACTGCTATCAGTATCATCACTATTAATTATTACATCTGAAAAAGATATTGTTAACAAATTAAACAAAGAGGAGCTGATTGATCATTTTGCAATGTGTTCTAGTACATTTAAGAAAAAATGATTATAACAACATCACGATTAAAAACTCTCACGAGAAACTTCTTTCACTTTCTGATGAGAAATGCCTAAGAAAGCCAGAGAAAAACAGTAAAGTAATGAGATAGCTGACAGCTTTCGTCTAGTACCTTCTTTCTAAGTATAAAATCTTATAAAAGTAATAAACGGTTCATTTTCTATTGCAGTATACTTTCAACGTTAGTCATTTTCTCGTCTATCTTGTTCTGTATAAACTGTATGCACTCTCTGTTTCTCTATGAGAACAGTATACTCTTTATACGCATTTATAAGTTAAGTATTTTATTAAACTAGACGGCAATCACAGCCAGCGACAGTTGCAAATACAACGCGAAGTTAATAACATACGTACCGTACCATATTGATGAAGAAAGTGTAGATTACTTGCATAATTATGTGAGATTTAAATAATGATTTATCAATCTGAAACAGAGACCATCGCATGGCAAATTTTTTCGCTCTACCTTGTCTTGCTCCGTCCTGTCAGAAAATGACTCCTAAAAAATGTTTCGCTTTATAGCTTATTTATTAATTCAGACACAGTTCCTATTCGGGTTTAAAATTTTACTGTACTCCTTCTAGTCCCCGAGAAAATCGTTACAGAAAATGCCACTTTTCTAGAAAGGAAAAACTCGGTTTATTACTATAATGCGGTATTGCTTCGCACCGCATTAAAATTATTTATAATGATTGTGTGTTTTATAACTCTCTCGTGAATGTACATGCGTTCAATTATTTTTGATAGCTTCCCTAACATATATATATATATATAGCTTTAGCCTAAAGAAGATGATGTGAGTCATACATATCGAAAGTTCGTTCAATAAATAAATTTTAGGTAAAAATGATCTTAATAATATATGTACACACGTTATCTGATTTATGTCTACAAAGAGGCTAAAGCAAATTAATGACATCAGTTTTCTTCAAATAGAGTTTAAAATAATTCAATCCGTACCCGAAGGCCGGGTTGGTTGCACATCTCTATAACCGAACTTTTGCATCTAGTCAAAAAAACTAAGCAGTAATGTATATATGTCCTTGTCCGATAATCGATTAATTTACAGATTAGCCATTGAGAAAATGACTTCGAACCAAAGGAGATATCATAAGAAAAAAATGATAGTAATCAAATAACATCAAAATTCGTAGCTCGGTAAATCAAACTAATAGTATTTCCATTCGTACATATATTTATAGAATGCAATCTGAACTTTTTCGACACTCTTCAAACTCGGCAACGTCTGCTTCACTTCACATCTTTTTAAACGAAATTAGATAACCATAAGAAATTAAGTTTCTTCACTCTTTTCCCAAGTATACTTTTTTCCATTACTCTATTTCAAGTATGACTTGAAATTGTCAGCCAAAAAGAATAATTTAAGTTGGCACTGTGTTTTATTGATAAATGAAAAACTATGTTTCCCAAAATTCGTCATATATAATGCAAAAGTGTTTACTTCACATAATGATAAAGGATATAAAGGATTTTTCTCTTTCTAATCGAATGTCCAGACATGCGATTAAAAACTAAATATTGAGAACCATTAGACACATATTTTCATTTTCTAAATGCAATGGACTATATAAGCTATAATTCTTCGTGTTTTTCTTCGACTGTCAAAAACATTACACATGCTAGATGATTGAGAACTTTTGGAATCAATATCATAAAATCTTCTTGAACATAGAAATAAAGCAGAGTTATATTAAGTCATTTATTTATATTTTTTTTCCAATATTTCTGATGTTATTTGGATAAACATAAATAAAACGATTCCGCAAAAAAAATTTGAACAAGGAAAGCGTCTGTTCGATGGCATTGAATCAGAGTTGTAACTGACTGAGAATTTTCAAACCGGTTCAGTCGGTCGATTTAAAAAGCTTTCTAAACCGGTAAAAACCGGCCGATTCATTAATTTTTTAACCAGTGAAGATCAGTGATTTTTTAAAAAAATTCATTTTTCTCAATTTGCACGACTTTTTACGATTCTTTCAAGAAGGGAGGTCATGTCGCAGCCCTTAAAATCCGTAAACTTTTCGAAAGTCGTGTTTCAAGTTGAGACGAAGATTCGTTCCTCCAAAAGCTGATTTCTTATTTTCAATTGTTTATTTGTTTCGTCCAAATTTTACATAAAAAAAGCTAATGTTTTCTGACACAAAAATAAAAACTAAAGTCCACTCTAAAATCTAGAGTCTTGTTTTCTAGAAATGTTCGCTAGACATGTGTATAGACGCTAAAAAATAGAATTTGCGTTGATATGACTAAGAAGAAATATAATAACAAATAAGATCACGTGATACTGTTTTGATTAGGCTCTTTAAGAGGAAAAAACAATCTAATTAGAGAAAAAAGGAGTTGAAAAGAACAGGAAAAAATACAGCTGATATTTTGAAACGAAACTGTTTTATTATTTTGATAAAAGCACTAAATTTTCTGTTATAAAGTTCAACTGGTGAACAACCGGCTGGTTTACACAATTTCTTTCCACCCATAAAAACCGACGAGACCGGTTACAGCTCTGCATTGAATATCGTTTTCTCTGATAAAAAAGGATTTATGAAATAGTAGAGAATATACTTGAACAAAATACCCTTTCTGCATTGAAAATAAGCTAGCTTTTTATTTTAAATGTAACCATGACCGCATTGTGATCAGAAAGGTTTTCACTTAGTGCATCCCCTATTTGAAAATTGATTACGTCTTCTGCTCCGACTTTAGTCCAAATCCAGTCGGGCACACCACTAAAATATACAAAAAAACAGTATAATCTATTATTTGTTGTAATTATACGTGAAAATAGCAGAATAATGTACATCAAATCAACAATAAGCATTTATTTCATTATTTAAATGATAGAAAAATCTTTTCTATTTACTTTTTCTAGTCTAGTTTGTTCTTCATTTGCTCAAAACAAAGCAAAGATTTAATAGTTGCCTAAAAAAATATATTTAAACGAGTAGGCATGCATCGATTTTGAATAATCGAAGTTCGAAATTCGTGAATGCCTATAAACGAGTATATCTTGAATTTTTATATAGATGATGATGATTAATATTGTTGATCGAAAACTTCTAAATTATTTTAAACAATGCTTGTTGTCGATTTGTTCTGAGTTATTCTGTAATGTGTTAATGAGACACGTGTGAACAAAAAACTAACAATAATGAAATATGACATATAACAAATAACGTACCCGAATACACTTGTTTGTTTCACTTGTTGTTCGGTATAAGCCGGTTTAAAATTTAACGATTTCAAATAATTACTAGCGGACATATAATAGTCTAAAAATTGTTTTTCTCTCTTTGATTGTGTTGCATTCTTATAAATATCATAATTTTTTAGAATATTTTTAGAAAAATTTACATCAGTTTCCGCATTAAAATCTCCAACAATCAAATCGGGATGATATTTGTCAACTAAAAGTTTTAATTCATTTTTTCGTACATTTATAAGATTTAAATATTTGACATCATCGAAACGACCTGAAAAATGATAAAATCAAAAAGTTGAACTCAATATTCTTTATAGAGATCACATAACAATGGTTTAGAAAATGAAAAGATATGCAGAAAGTTTCTAGATGAAAAATATTCACCTCCGCATAAATGTACATTCGCTATCACTTTATTATAAATTCTTGTTATCGCTGAACAACGTGATACAGGACATTCAGCTGTAATTATTAATGAGTATGATTTATTAATGGCTTTAGAATGTTTTGAGTGTATATAAATCGAGTTTGCCAAGTATTGATTGGTACGGTTCCAAACTTTTTCACCTTTACATTCAATTTCTCGTTTATAATTTTTGATTACCAACGAGGACTTTTTACTAGAATTAATAGAAAAAAAAAAAAAATCATTTCTTTAAAAATGTATGCTTATTCAATATTTTTTCTTTTCTCTTCCGCCATTTCGATGGTATTATGGAACTACTACGCTGTCTTATTGGCAAAAAGAAAATTAATTGTTAGTTACATGCACAATTCAGTTTTTAACTCTTATTGAAAAAGCTGAATAAAAATTTGATGAAATATATATACCCGAAAATATCTTCTTGTAAACAGAGTATGTCTGGTTGATATTTTTGAATAAAAGCGGCTATAATCGATTTGTCTCCATTCACACGTTCGTACAGTTGAACATTGAATGTCATTATTTTTAGAAATATGGCTGATTGATTAAGTGAAGTTGATTTTGTAATTGTTTGAACGAAAACTGATGTGGTCTTTATTGACTCGGTTACTGCGAAAGAGAAAAGAAATATGAAGACACTTGTTCTTCAAAATTAGCACATTCTTTTGATATTTCTATGTTTAATAAAAAATTAGAATCAAGAAGAATAGCAGATGGTCAAAAATCTTACCACTATGCTTCAGTCTAGCCAAAATATTCATATTCAGAGATATTTTACTATAATAAAAAAAAGTGAAAACCAAAATCTCTTACTTTTTACATTGTTCTTTTGATAAATGTAGGAAAGATTCCAGTAAATGCATCCAATACCAATCATCAATAAAACTTTAACTACACCTACATTAACAATAATGTTACATAAAGATCTTTCGTTCGCTTCTGATTTTTTTATTTTCTGTGGACAAAGGTGGTGGATACGAACTCTCATCAAAAGAAAATCCGGTATTCATCACACAGTCGTAGTTACTTGTGGAGAAAATTTTTTTGAGCACAGTTCTAACTTTTTTGCAGAACGAAAAATTTTAATTGAAAATTTTTTTGACTGTTTAGAGCAAAGAAAATAATTTATTAGAGAGAATGGAGTCTCTGACGATTGAAAACAGAGAGCGTTTTAGCAGAATCGTATGTACCAACATGATTTTCTAGCAGTAGGTTCATCTCCTTTAGTGTTTACGAAAGAAACACATTAACGAGGAAACCTATGGACATGTACCCCTCCGCTTTCATTCATTCATACGTCGATCGATAGAGGATATCGAGGCTCTAAAAAGATAAAAAGGATTCGGGCTGATGGCTTTTCCTTCAAAAGTTATAGGCATTTTTCTGCTTTTCCCAGTGAAAAATAGAAAAAATAGAAAAATTCATATATTCGACCAGAAAAATAGTTAAGAGCTCAAATTTATTTTTATAGCTCTTCTATATACCTTTGATATTCATACAAACTTTCATCTTTACGACTCATTCCATTCCCGAGTTATTGAATTTTAAGTTTTTCATAGATTAGCCCTTACATAGGCTCACAATCTAATGGCTTCTAAACTTAATTAGTTTTCTACTAGTACTGTTGAAACTTTCATAAATGGCATGGTTTTGATCGATATACACAGAAAACTAATCGAAATTATATAACTTCAATGTTCTGTAACTCCGGTTTTCAAGGAAGTCTCTAGAGACCTGAGCATCTGCAGTCAGCTTGAGAAATCTTTTTTGTTTTCATAAACGAAATTAGACTATACAACCATGTCATTTACGAAAGTTTCAACAGTGCTAGTAGAAAACAAACAATTTTGGAAGCCATTAGATTGTGAGCCTATGAAAGGGCTAATCTATGAAAAACTTAAAATTCAATAACTCGGGAATGGAATGAGTCGTAAAGATGAAACTTTGTATGAATATCACAGATATATAGAAGAGCTATAGAAATAAATTTGAGCTCTTAACTACTTTCCTGGACGAAGATATGAATTTTTCTATTTTTGCTATTTTTCACTGGGATAAACTTTTGAAGGAAAAGCCATCGGCCTGAATCCTTTTTAGCTTTTTAGAACCTCGATATCCTCTATCGATCGACGTATGAATGAATGAAAGTAGAGGGGTACATGTCCATAGATTTCCTCGTAAGAAAATTATTATCAGTTTATCAGTTCATGATCCTTGTTCACCTTATCAAAGCCATCTTCGCTTTCTTTGATCGTCCACGTTTTTTTGAAAAGTTTTATTTATACATGTGAAAAAAGCTTTTTCATATTCGAACACAGGAATACCTAGATTTTTCATACAATTTTGAATTTCAGACTTTGAATCTCATTCTCCAGTATGATACAAATAACTGTGGAGAGATGGTCTGTATACCCCGTTCTCATTTCAATCGTCAAAAACTCAGTTCTCAAAAAAAATTAGAACCATATTCTTTCAAACTAATTCCGTGCTCGAAAAAATTGTTATCCTTTACGTATTATTTAAATCTCTCTTCTTTGAGAGTTTTTCTTTTTTTATATTATATAATTTATATAATTTTTAATTTTTTTTTCAACATTTTTTATTTTGTATATTCTTTTTGAACAACTGCTGATAAACTAGGAAGCAGAGCTGAATAAATCAAGTTAAAAATGATTCCAGTCACCAACTAAGAAAATTAGATTTTTGTGGCGAATTTTAGGATAAAATACATGATTAGGTCTAGAACATAAATCCAGTATTAGATAAAAGTGCCCTTCAATTGAAAAACTATGATTTTATAAGTATACTCAAGACTCCAGCAGTAGTGCCTTAGAGTAGAAGAAAGGAACGAAGTCTACTAAACTTTAAGTATTTTTCTACGAAAAAAAATTTCAAGTCATGACATGTAATTCAACTTGTGACTTGGAAATCCCTTAATTTGTCCAGCTCTACTAGAGAGTTGTGGCTTTCGTCATTGGAACGAGAAGACTTTGAGATTAGCTAACAAGGGAACTGTCCCAACCGTCTAAAAGGCTTTTAGTTACGATTCCGTATTATCAGTGGAAGTAGATCTTGATGAGACTAAGAAAAACCTAAAAGGGTTCGTGCCCATGATCTTTCGTTTCGAGATATGATCGACCTTACGTCGAAAAAATGCGATTTTTTTCAGTTAAATTTTGCTCGATCACCATAACAAGTCGAGTGATGACAGCTTGAACAATCTTCATGAACATTCTTACAACAAGTGTCAATAAAAAATGATAAATATCTCGAGTTCTACGCAAGTTAATTTAGTTGAAATTTTTGAAGCAGTTAGATCATTAGTCAGGCTAAAAGACTTTCATCAGTCAACTTGTTATGGTGATCGAGAAAAACTTTGTGAAAAAGTGAAAGCAATCGCATTTTTTTCACGTAAAGTCGATTATATCTCGAAAACGGAAGACCATGCATGGACACGAATCGTTTTAGGCCTTTCTTAGTCTCATTGAGATCCACTTCCACTAGTAATACGAAGTCATAACTCGCGAGACAGTTGGGGCAGTTCCCTCGTATGACAACTAGAACATGGTCGATAATCCATGTTCGAATTATCTCTGTGGTTCCAATAGATCATCTCATAGCAGTCCTGGGCCGGTTTGAAAATCCAATGTTACATCTAAACGACGGTCGTTTGCCTGAGAAATACTTTTAAAATGCTTTCTCTTATGAAAAGATGTCGTTAAGTCTTCTCTCCAATGGCGAAAGTCACAGCTCTCTAGCTTATCAAAAATTATTTAAAAAATATCCACACCCATTCTTTTCCAAAAATGAATAATACAATTATATAGAATGAAAGAGGATATTCTTGATTTTTAAACGTAAAATGCACAAACACCCAAGAAAATCGTCGCAATAACAATACGACTGATTATAATGAAGCATTAATAATAAAAAATATTTATGGAATAGTTAGAACGATTGTAACTTCTCCCTAGTACTTTACCAATATTTAATTAAAGAAAACAAAATTAAATTTAGCACCAAATGCCGAAATTTTGAAAAGTTAGTTTAAGCTTCAAATTTGTATGCATAGAATAGTAGCAGAATAGAATAAAATAGAAGTTTCATGTCGTATCATACTCAGTCCTAGAATACGATGCGAAGTGAAACTATTCTATATACATAAAATGTCTTACATCGTCTCCAAAATTTTCGTTTTAATTTCTTCATCATATAAAATCGTTTTATTTTTGAAAACATTAATTTTTTGTGGATAAATCGAATAGGAAAATGATATTATGCAGAATGATATAAACAACCTCATCTAGAAATATCATTAATTCAATAAAGGGAATAAAGAATTAGAAATATACGCGCTTAACGAAGTTTATTGTTTTTATCATCAACAATATTCTGTTTTGTATTATAACGAAAAGATAGTACAAACTTTTTTTGACCGAGAAACTTAGCTACTCAGAAAATAATTCAAACAGAAAAAATTAATAGCACAAAACTATTTTTCTACAAGTGAAAGTTATCAATCGATAAGAATTAGCATTACTTTACTCTTGGAAGATTATTCACTTTTAATTACAATGTTTACGTATCAAGAAAGATTTTCATCTATTTTTAAATCTTTTTTTTATTAGCTTAACTACATGGTTCAGATTATTGAAAGATATCTTAGATAATAGCTTATTTCTATCAGACAAATAAACTCCTTCGTATACAAAAATATTTTTAATCAATATTCTTAGTAATAAGTCATCAACAATGTTGTTTCCTTCATTGTGTTTTATTTAATGAAGAAAAAGACTAAAGAAATCACAACTAGAAATGTGATATATCAATAACATGTTGATTTGTGTAGTCGTTCAGAAACAATAATTGAAATATGTCATTGATAAACGTTGGATAATATATGCATGCACGTTCAATATCAGGCATAAAGTTAACTTCGCATAGTTTTGGTTGAATGTAACGGTCTAGATAAATAAAATAGCAGAGTTCATATAACCTTTTTTTATTTCTTTAACAAGACATACTTTGTCCGTCGTTTTCAATATTATCTAACATCAAATCTACTGCATAAATTGCTCTTGATCTATTACAATGATCAAATCCTCGAGGAGGAGGTTGAGATGCAGCACATAAAAATATTTGGTGAATCATTTTAAAAATGTCTGTCTATAAAATGATAGCATTTGTTTAACTAGTATTATTCCTAGATCGACATTTGATAGCATACCTCAATATTTCGCCATAATTGATTTGGATTTTGTTGTTCAAATAACGGAATAAATTCATCACATGTGATCTATTGAAGAAAAAAACAAACAATAAAACGGCGATTATATCACTTATAGCACTACCTTCTTCAATGTCGTAGCATGTCTATAATTCATCACTGTAAAATGTTTTTCGTAATCATCAAAATTATCGAGTGAATAGGGTCTGAAAAAGAAACTTTATTAGACTAGATTCTTTCTTGTATGTGAGGTACGGTATAGACTTTTAATTGCATAGTCTAAACAGTACGCAAATCAAACTGAAATCGTTCTTTAGAGAATCAAATTTTTAGCTGAGGAAAAATTAATGCTATCGTACAGTAATCTTATGAAAAACTCACATCATTCAATCTGCATCTATACGAATACATCTAGGAAAGGTTAAATTAGGATTAAAAAATACCCATTTTATGTCATAAACTTAAACGTTTTCTTTTTATAACAATACAACCGGTGTGTCATAAAGAATTGCAGCCTCAGTATTTTCAATGACAACAATTTTTTTCGAATGATTTTACAAACATTGAAACCCGGTTTGAGTATATTTTTGTGTAGTTCTTTTTTATGCGCTTTCTAATCGACAAAATTATTTGAATCAAAATATTCAACACAAAGACTGACTTCTCTGGACTCGGACGAGAACAGCAAAAATGTTCGATCTTTTTTTTTGCGCATTATAATAGAACTTTTTTTCAAATATTAATGATCCAACAATATAGGTTACTCATTTGTCTCCAAAGACTGCAATTCTTTATGACACACTCGTTATACATCGAAGTTTTAGGATTATTCTGAATGTGGATGGTTAGGGTAAAAACATCAAAATATATTATTTACTTATTCGCAAATCTTAACCAAAATTTTTCATAAACAAATAATTTCAACGGTTGAATTGTATGAAGTAAAACAATATAACGAATATCAAATTTAACATTGCCAACACCATCACGATAGAAAAGTAACGGTTTTTCAATGTATTTACACACAACCTAACACATAAAAAAGCACTTAACATATTTATTTTTTTTGATATTCTTAAATAACCGGTACCTTTGGTCCTGACTCAGCCAATCGTACAATTTGATTTAAATTTTTCGTAACATGTGTATCAATCGATCGTGCTAAATTCCATGGTTTAATAATCCAATGATTGTCTAGATTTCTAAAGAACGAGTATCGATCAAACAAAACTTTATTTTTTCTTTCATAATGAACGGATACATACTTTTGTTCACGTTGTTGATAATAAGAAATAAATTTTGACAGTTCATATGTTAAATTATATGTTGTGGGTAACCATTCTGGATATGATTTCAATGTTGTTCGATCAATACCAGGAGATAAACGTCGACAAACAATTGCCAAAAGATCTTTTATGGTGATGACATTTTCGAATGGATATTGATTAACAAATTGAGATGTGAAAAACAATTCACTTTGAATAAGAAAAAAAATATAATAATATAAAATGTTGGAAACTAGTAAAAATGTGAGTATACTTGTAAGTTTTAAAATGAGTTCTAATAAACAAGATATCAGCATTTTCTTTTGTATCAGTTATGCAAAATCGTTGATCAAATAAATGATTTCGAACAAGTTCAAGATCAGTAAAGACGTTAACTGGACGATTCAAACTTGATAAATCAATTTCACACATATTCGACATTGGAAGTAGCTCATTCTCACGAGCAGTCTACAAACAAACACAAAGGTACAGTCAGAAACGGGTTCTTCAAATCTCTATTAAATGAAGACAATTAATAGAGAAATGCACTATAAATATTTACATTAAAATATTGTTCACTTGGTTCTGTTTGTTGAATATCAATATCCGTGAGACTACCTTTTGTCCATGGAACTAATTTTGCTCGTCGAATTTCATTATCTGTAATTCCATAAGCATAATCAACACTAATTCGATCTAAAATATTTATCTTTTCTTAATGATAATCCAGCGTTCATCATTGTAAATATGTACCTTACCTTCAGAACTGACATTTTCAACTAACCAGAGGAGCGTATACATTGTACCATCAAGCATTGAATAAAACGGAGCCATACGTGCACATGGATAATCATCGTGACTAATGGATGAGCCAACTTCATCTAGAATATACCAGTATGGTTCACGATCTTCAGCCTAAAACATAAAGCTATAGCTAAAAGTATGGCAATTATCAAGCTCTTTTTGTTTTAAGACAAAAATATTCTACCATTGTTCCAGCAGTTGTCAACGTATAGGTATGATTCAATTTCCACATTTCCTCAATGATTTTTTCAATTTTTTTCTCATGTTCCTCATCAATGTCAATGAACATCATATGACATAATCGATCAACTAATTGTGGTAACTGATGGAGTTCTTTTTGAATTTGATCAAGTCGATACGTATAAGCATGATCAATAATAAATATCCTGGAAAAAATGAGTAGTACGTTTATTTTAGTTTTGTGTACTTTTTCTTTCTGTCAATATACGTACATGTATGGGTCATCTTTGTTCAATATTGTATGTTCATCTTTTACTCGTAATTCTCGTCCAGTTGTTTTATCTTCATCATCTTGTAATTCAACAATTTGAAAATATTCTCCAACATCAAATATCTATACTAAAACAAAAGAAAAATATTGATCAACAAACTATAGAAAAATTAGATAAAAGATAATGAACCTCATTGTGTAATTTACGATAAATATTCGGCCAATAGTGTTCAGGTATATTAGATAGTTCCAGTTGAGTACGATGAAGATCAATGAAACTGTTTAAAATTGTTGAATCGATTTGTGGATCTCCACCTCGACCATCGTTACCATTCATCATATAGAACAATTTTAATGTCTGAAATTTTAAAAGTGCATGTTAGACAATAACATTACAATACACAAAATATTCACATTTCCATGTTATTTCTACAAGAGACACGAATTTTGGTGTTTATCGAGTATATATTTGAAAAATGATAAAAAAAAGAAACATAAACTCACTGTTGTTGTGTTTGATGGACTAAACAAAAAAGTACATGCAAAAAAAAAAGAACATCTAAAAATCAATAGCACTCACATCTCACCGTTTACTTCTACCTGAATATAGTATTTCATTCAACAAAAAAATGGTATTAGCTCACAAGTAGCAAAACAGTAGAAAAAGAAATATAGACAAAAACAGAACTCACTTGATTAAACAATACACTATAAGTAAAAAACAAAATGCGTAGTAGTCACCAGGTTGTGTCGTTCTAAAAGTTATCTGACCACTTTATTTTCGCGTGTGCCACAGATCAGTGTATTGTGCTCTCTATCACTACTACACTCGAGAATAGACAATCAATCATTTCAGGCAAAAATAATTCAATAGCCCAATACAAATGAAAAACAAAAAAGGACAATTAAAAAAACATACACCGGCCTCAAATGAGAATAGAAATACGATAATAGTCTAGTAGAATGAGAAAAAACAACAACTACATAGCTTAACAAAAAGCTTTAGTCGTACACATATTCGATTGAGGAAGAACAAATCATACTTCGTGCCGAACTTTGAATAAAAATATATTTAAAAAACCGTAGAGATCAAGCACAAATCAAATAAAAGAATTAACATATCAAACCAGATTGTTTACTAAGACGAAGAAACACGTATACATATACACTAAACAAAAAATACTAAAAAGCAAGAACAAGCATTAGTGGACCAATAAAAGGAAAATTGAGAATCGAAAAAGTACCTACTACGGCAAAATTATTGCACTTAATGAATTAGAATAAGAATTATTTGTTTAAAAACAAAAAAAAAGATGTTCATCATGAACAACATTTTTTATTATCTTTTATACCACCCATTGTTAAAATTGTTCGTTTTTGATTCGTTGTTGATGATGATGAATGATCTTTTTGAGCTATTAAACGACGTCTTAAAGCTAATTTTGTTATTTCATGAAATATATTTTCAACATTTTTATTATCTCGTGCACTCGTTTCAAAAAACGGTAAATTTTTTTGTTGAGCATATTGAGTGGCATCCGATGTCAAAACAACTTTAGTCATTTCAGAATCCGAATCATCTTTGTTACCAACAAGAATTTTAGCTTTTAAACAAATAATAGAAAAAATGTTAAAAAAGAAAGGAAATAACTTTTAAGGTGAGAGTGTAACTTACGAACATTGGCATCACAATGACGTTCCATTTCTGTAATCCAATCTTTTAAATTTGCAAATGTTTCACCATTTGTGACCTTGACAGAAAAGAGATAGATGAACACACGTTAATATCAAATCGAACTATAAAAGTAGAAATTAAACTTTAAAACTGTTGATTCCACTTACGTCGTAAACAATAATCACGCCATCTGCTCCTCTATAATAAGTACTCGTTATTACTCGAAAGCGTTCTTGTCCGGCCGTATCCCTAAAAATAAAAAAACCAAAAAATATCAAAAAATAAGTTGTTGTTATCGGTTTCTACAAAACAACTCAACTACATACCAAATTTGTATTTTACACTGTTGGCCGTCAATATTAATTGTACTCATTTTAAAATCTACTCCTATTGTTGTGATATACGATGTTGTAAATATATCATCAACAAATCTCACCATCAGAGAACTTTTACCCACTCCAGAATCACCAATAATTAAAATTTTAAACGTTTGCGAAGTTTGATTACCATCTCCATTTGAACGATTTGATGCCATAAATATCTATAAGATTATAGGTGGAAAAGTGTGAAAAAAATGAAAAACTCACTTGATGATTGGTGACGCTTTAAATTATCATCTTCTCAGACAAAAATTCTTATAATTCGCATCATATACAAAAGAATGAATATATCAAATTGGATCAATTACAATTCCGAAAATAATGTGATTCAGAGAAGATAATTTTGAAAATAAACGGACAAAACTCAGACACAAGCAGTCATTTAATAATCTACTCTCAATATTCATTCACATAGGGACAATAATAGTAGAATATAAAAAATTATATTTATTTTTATTTCTTCTCATTGATATGTCAATAGAATATAACAAGGCTCCAATAGAAGAAGTTTTTAAAAACGAATGTACAAGAGAATAATAATTATAAAAAGGCAGAAAATGGAAAAATAATTCAAATTGCTTTAACTTAAAACAAACAAACAAAAAAAAAGAATGGATAATAGACGGAAGAGACGATTAATAATTTGTCTATATAAAATAACTTTATTTTTTTTTAAATGTGGATCTTGTCAAAAATTAATCTTAATCGTAATGTAGACAACTTCGAATCTTTTTACGTGGATCACACTATATAAAACTAACCTAACCTAACCAAATTATGCTGGCTACTAAGATGACCTGACTTTGATGAAGTTAAAAAAATGTAACCTGTTATATTACAAATTGCAAAATGAATACTATACTCATTGTAAATTGTCTACTTTGAAATGATATTTTTAACGAATATTTCTCTCATATTATTTCAATTGTGTTAGTGATTTTTTCAAATAGATTCTCAAATACTATGTTTACTTCGCGCTGAAAAAGATTCGTACCAAAGTTCACAAAAATACAAGAAATATAAAAGTCATAAACAGTTGACAAGACAAACGAAAAAATCACATTTCAATAACAATTTTTGTCATACAAAAAATACATACAAAATACAAATACAAAGAACATAGATCAGAGGATAGCTAGTTTAGTACGCCTCTATTTTCTATGTTCTAAAAAAAAGAAACAAACTAGAGACAAGATGGAATGATTTCACAAATAGAGATATTAGCGGCTTCGTAGACACCGACGAAAAAATCAATTAATTTACGATAGCGACGTCGAAAAATCAGGAAAACAAAAAAATTTTCATTCGACGCCGCCATCGATCATTAGAGAGATTTTTTTTGGAAAAAAAGACGTCGACATTTAGATCGACTAACATTTGTATTTACAAACATCATTAAAAAAAATACAACAAAAGATAATTTATCTAAAAATGACATATGTGTCAAATGAATATTTTTGTCACAACTCGACACAAAACGTGAAAATTCGTAACTCGAACAATTGACAATTAAATAACAAAAAAAAACAAAAAAGTATTTGTTAATTTTTACAACAACTACTACTCTTTATTTTATCTTTTTTATGTTTTCTTCCTCCTGCACTATTATTCAATCTGATCGATGCTCCGGTTGAATTTAAATTGTCTTTACTATTTTTTTTATTGTTATCTTGTATTAATCGGGATTCTAAACGTTTTTTAAGTGCTAAACGTGTCACTTCGTAGAATGCTTTATCAACATTTTTATTGTCTCGTGCACTTGTTTCAAAGAAAGGTAAATTCATTTGTCTAGAATATTGTTGGGCATCGTCAGTTAATACAACTTTATTCGATGATACATCATCATCATCTTTATTACCCACTAAGACTTTTGCTATGGTTTCATCACAATATTTATTAATTTCATCAGTCCTAAAACGATATAATAGAAATGAGCATAGCGTTTAAAAGAATGAAAAAAAAACTATGGATATCTTTTCAATGACAAAAACATCGATTCAATATGTTAAAAATATTTAATTTTTGCTGGCTGATTATTCATCTACTAGCGTATTAAATCAGTACAACAACAAAAAACAATAATACAACTGTAATAGTGTTCAATCGATTGTGAAACTTCAGATAGTATAAAGCATATAGGACTAAAAACTGCGTTCGACACTCTAATCGCATGCAATTCATTTTGTGTATTTCACTTGCATTACGAAAGAATAAAACATAGATCAACGTACCATCGACGAACTTTCGAAAATGTATCACCGTTTGTGACATCATAAACAATCAATACTCCCGCTGCATCGCGATAATACGTCGTTGTTATTACTCTAAAAACAAGTATGAGTAAAGCAAAGAGATTCTTGAAAAATGAGTATGGTCTATTTCTACCGAAAACGTTCTTGACCGGCCGTATCCCTAAAAGAAAAAATAATAGAAAAATAACAGAAGGTATAAAAAAGGGAACCTATAACTGCATCAATCAGTTTTCATATTTAAATATGTGTTCTTTTTACTGTTGTAAACGATTTTTCTGCATAGTTATTACGGAAAACTAGATTTTCATTCATCTGTTACAGAAACGCTTGAACTCACCATATTTGCACTTTACATTGATAATCGTCAATAATTAATGTTCGAACTTTGAAATCAACCCCTATGGTTGGGACAAATGTTGGTTGAAATGTTTCATCGACAAACCGAGTCATTAAACTACTCTGGAAGGGAAGACAAAAATGTGACAACTAAAAAGATGGCTTATAAAAATTTATATTACTTTTCCAACACTCGATTCTCCAATGATCAAGATTTTAAAATGGAATACTTCACCAGATCTAGCCATTTTCTTCTACCTAAAACAATCCTTAAGTTTAGTTCGTCCTAAGAAAATTAACAAGTTGTCGTCTGAATCGAGCTCATATTTGACTGTGACGATTTTTTTCTTCTAACCAGTTCCTCTTTGTAACTGAAGTTCATTTTAACTTACTTAATTCTTATTCTTGAGTAACATTTTGCAGTCGTTTTTAAGCCATTTTTAAATAATCTACAAAACAAAAAACACAAACGAAAGATAAAGTGCAATGGAAACGATTATGCCTCACCTCTTTCGCACACATGCAAATTTTAAAGAACTGTTGATTTAGAAACGAACTAGAGGAATGACAAATCGATATAACTATAATAGGATTCTATGACTCAACCACTGTGAATCACCATCGTTTCGCAAACATATTTAAATTACAAGCCTTGTTAGACATAAAATTTAACAATTTAATGACGATAAATTAAACGGATTTTATGACTTACAACTTGAGCCAATATTTTTCGATGGAAAAAACTTTGGGCTGCGAGCCAATTGTAAGAACCACAGTCAAATGTAACAGAGAACAAAGTCACTGGAATTAGTGTAAATTATATCAAAGACATTACCAGTGTTTAGTCGTATATGTTGATTTCCCTTTTTATGGAAAAGAAACGAGCTGCAGTTGTCTGTCCGTAGTAGATGTACTTGCCACATGTAGCATACGAGTACCTGCTCCAAGTATCCTCGCAAGTTTCATCCAACATTCCTGGAATTTTTCGCAAGTAAATCAAGCACTTGACAGTAAAGTCAAGTACTTATATTACTTTACCTTCTTGTTAACAATTGGCCAAGCACTTATTCCAGTAACTCACGAGTACCTGCAGAAGTCCAACAAGTATATCAAGTATCTAGCAAATATTTTCATATACAGGTAATTAATTATCAAGTGCCATTTTATAAAAATGTTTAGTCAAGTACCCACAGGAAGTTATAAGTAAATAAACACCCGTTCGCAAACGTATTCACTAGAGATGAATCTACTAGTCGAGATAAGTAAAACTCAAATATTATGCTGTAAACGTATATGCAGTGAAAACCTGAGATACAATTTCAAAACGAAAGATAATGTTTCTGTATCGTGCTACGTACTCTATTCAACGCGTGCAGTAAAGTATGGATCGGCCTACTGTTTTTTTTTAGCGAATAACACACTTCTGCACGCAAGATGGCCCCACAGTTGCGGGAATCGAAACGTGTGATATGATAGAGACATGAAAAATTTCGTACTCAACATGGCTGTCCTATAAAACAACGAGCTTGAAACAAAGAGGAGAGAATGTAGTAAAAATCAATTATAACTTTGAACAAATTTTAGCTTTTGGATGGAAACGAATGATTATAATTGAGCTTTTTTGTCATATAGTTTGAGCTACAATACATTTAATTTCTAGAAGAAATGTGGACTTCGCCATTATACATCCTCAGATAGAGACGGCTTTTCTTTGAGCACAATCTCTTACAACACATTTGTGTACAGACTAGTCTTAAGTTGTTGTTTTTTTATTTACAGTCGACAACATATTTTTCTTAGGCAAATATTCATCTTATTTTTAGGAGAGAAGAAGTTTCCATCCTTTCTAATATTAAGTGCAAGTTCATTGTCAGAGTACACAGTAGACGAACAAATTTACATTATCTTGGCTGTTTCAGAACATTGTAAATAAGCCAGGATAGAAACAAAGATCTCTATTAGTGCATATATGACTAGTGAGATATAAAAAAATACACACAAAGAATGAAATATTGTTGATGAGCTTTCTGAAAACATTATTATCATCCGCTTTATTTCATTCTTCACCGATATAACTGAATGGTTCATTTTTACATAACTTTTATAGTTAGTTTGTGAACAGATCTTGATTTTTTGGATTTTGTTTTATAAGAACTACGTTTATTGTTCGTTGACATTGGAAAATCGTGAAATGATTCGCAGAATTCAGGAAAGAAATTTTATTCTCTTTCCTTCTGTGATGTATTTGTGGACGAACTAAATTTTGTTCACTCTATCGAAGAGACAAAATGCGAACGTACCCTTTGGATACTATTCTTATTAAAAACGTCGGAAGTTTCACGACTTTCATTATCTTTCCTCAAATAAACGTATATACATATTAATTATGCTTCATTCATCTCAATCTATCTGATTAGATTTACTTTTTGTGAAAGTCGAGCATGAACCAAATTAGTCTAACATCCGAGCACGATACATCGTGGGAAGACGTTGATGATAGTTGTTTAGAAAATATCAAGGTATTTATAGCGCGTCAAAAGACTGAAGATATGTTTTATCCGTACATTTCTTTGTTATTAGTTATTAAAAGCAACATACAGTAAATTATTTAATCAACAGGGAGAAACATGTAAAACACTATTATTACGTTTATTTGAAAATATTGAATTTATTGTTCAACGAGAATTTACAGATTACAAAAAATTAGATACAAAATACAAGTATGTTCGTACTAATCTATGGTTAGGTAGTACTAATTGTCTTGTTTTTACAGAAATATGGTTCGACAGTGTCAATTATACGAAAAGATATTTAAACAGGTAGGTTTACTTTCCATTCTGGATGATCTACTATATTTTATTCTTTTTCATTTAAGCGCAATTGTCAATGGTCATTTTTGAAGTACGTGTTATTTATTAGTGGTGTTGTTCATAAGAAAGAATATTGTTTTGTTTCATTACACTGTGTGTTGTTCTAATTCCAGTGACGAGTCGTGTGATACCTACGCTGATCACAGTTTAACAATGATCACACCGTTTCATGCTCAAGCTGCAGCTCCTGATTTACTTCAGTCAACAACGGCTATTGGAACATATCGAAATCGACATCGGAAACGTTCGACACTATTTGTTTCTCACCTTTCAAACTCTAAATACGCTTCAACACCCACAAGTGTTAAAAAACATCAAGAAAGCCTTTTGGCTCCTGTTGCCTCTGTTGAACAAGGAACGACGAAAATTTCACCCATTTTTGACAACGACATTTTTAATCAAACAAACTCATTTTTTGCGACAAGTTCAGTTGGAATTCAATGTACATTATACAAAGATGATGTCGATTGTTCAATTGATGTTATACCACGGATGAACAGAGAACAAACTGACGATATTAGAAACGATACATTAGAAAATGTATTAGTGGAAAATCGAAGAGATCAGTCGATTCAATATGAAATAATGCAAGAAACAATGATTGAACAATACTGTCAAACATCTCAGGTAATAGAAGCATTGATCAAACTTCTTATTACACATATAACAACGGATAAACAACATTTTTTATTGTTTTTGTCGTCTAACTATACCGTACTGTGAGAAAGTGATACTGTCTTTTCTTCTCTAAAGTAGTCAAACAATTATATTCTTTTATGAAGTCTTTTTAAGATAGTATGTAGTATTTTTGCTTACCAGATTAGAGCTAGACGCATCGAATACAAAACTTACGTTTTGTATCAATTTTGAAAAATATACCGTCATGAAAAATTATTATTAACTAGAACTGTTATACCTGTCTAAGACACTCAGGACTGCATTTATACTTTCTCTTCGAAGTTTGAAAAGGGAGAACACATTTCTCGCGTGGATCGAAAATAGTCCTACTTTCGACAATTCCTTAAGCAAAAACCACTTGGGAAATACCATGCTGCTTCGAGCAAGATTTGATTTTGTGTTTTAATAGTTTCACGAACAGAATGATGTAATCTGAATTGTATCTCCTCAACTCCGTTCTGTTTCATAAAAAAGGCTTAAAGCAATACGATATGGAGCATTTTGAGTACGTTCAGAGAAGTAACGGGTGGCTCAGAAAAACGGGTCACTTTTGTTCGTTGTTTTTGAGACCGTGTCCAGTGGTCCAAAGAATTCGTTTTAAGTTCAATTGATAAAGAATTGAATTCTCTACAAAACCTGCTATTTGAATCTTTGGCAGCAGTTTTTGTGTTTCAGCATTATTCAAATTATTGAATGGTACTGAGTTACGAACTGTGACACTGAAAATAGAAAAATATTTGCTTTGATCAAAAAACAGATTCCATAGGAATTTTGAAAACAGCAGAAGATTCACCGGAAAATTCTTCCCGCATATTTTTCGAAGTTTTTGCAGTTAAGCCTTCTAGGAAAATTTCTCTGTGCGAAAAACTTGTAAATCTAAAAAAACCTAACTTGTGAACCTATTTTTCACAGACTTCAGTTTTGGGACTATAAAAGCAGTAAAACGTTCTGAAGCCAGAGTTTTAGTCTTATTTACTTACACACAATTAAATTCTACATCTTTTGATATATAAACAAAGTGTCTCAATTGAAATCATTAATTAAAAAAATTAATTCAATTTGAAAAAATTAAAAAGCCGGTTGAGAACTAATTATCAGCTGCCGTAGCGGGAACATTGTACGAAAGTTGTAAATGAGTGAGATTAATAGAGCACAAAATTTTCTATCCTTCTACCGAGAAAAATTAACTATTGAATCTCAGACAATGGGCTAAAATTCTCAAAAAGGGGGATGATAACAGCACGTCGTAGTTTGATAACTCAGCACCATTCAATATTTTGAATGATGCTCAAACGAGAAAAATACTATCAGAGATTCCAATAGCAGGTTTTGTAGAGAATTCAATTCTCTGTCAATTGAGCTTAAAATGAATTCTTTGAACCACTGGGCAAGGCCTCAAAAACAACGAACAAACGTGATCCATTTTCCCTGGGTCACCCGTTACTAAGGGTGCTCTTGGGTTTAAATCTCTTCGCATCCAAAAACTTTTATTTTACTTTATTCAGAATATTGGCAAGGTATCTGTTGATAATCAAACTCAATATGATAGTGAACTATTTATTGAACCTTGTCAAATATGTATTGAACGACGTCAGAATTTTACTCAAACAATTGAACAAGAAACACAATATGTAATACTCGCCTCCTCTTGTCTCGTTCAAACCGATAACATAGAATCCAGTTCAACCGGAATTCAATGTACATTATGTAAAGACGATGTCGATTGTTCAATTAATGTTATACCACGGATGGATAGAGCACAAACTGACGATATCAGAAACGATACATTAGAAAATGTATTAGTGGAAAATCGAAGAGATCAGTCGATTCAATATGAAATAATGCAAGAAACAATGATTGAACAATACTGTCAAACATCTCAGGTAACAGAAGCATTGATCAAACTTCTTATTATAACTATGGGCATCTCTTACAGATAGAAGCAGTTGTCTTCATTGATAAGTTAGTTTGAAAATTTGAGAGTTCAAGTATCTTTTCTAGTGATGAGCAAATGAGGTATTTATTAATTATTCTTTATTCAGGATATTGATAAAATTTTTGTTGATAATCAAACTCAATCTGATGGTGAACTATTTATTGAACCTTGTCAAATATGTGTCGAACGACGTCAAAATTTTACTCATACAATTGAACAAGAAACACAATATGTAATATTCACCTCCTCCTGTCTCGTCCAAACCGATGACATAGAATCTCCATCCAGTTCAACTGGAATTCAATGTACATTATATAAAGACGATGTCGATTGTTCAATTGATGTTATACCACGGATGGATGGAGAACAAACTGAAAATATCAGAAATGATACATCAGAAAATGTATTAGTGGAAAATCTAAGAGATCAGTCGATTCAATATGAAATAATGCAAGAAACAATGATTGAACAATACTGTCAAACATCTCAGGTAATAGAAGCATTGATCAAACTTCTTATTATAACTATGGGCATCTCTTACAGATAGAAGCAGTTGTCTTCATTGATAAGTTAGTTTGAAAATTTGAGAGTTCAAGTATCTTTTCTAGTGATGAGCAAATGAGGTATTTATTAATTATTCTTTATTCAGGATATTGATAAAATTTTTGTTGATAATCAAACTCAATCTGATGGTGAACTGTTTATGGAACCTTGTCAGATATGTATCGAACGACGTCTAAATTTTACTGAAACAGTTGAACAAGAAACACAATATGTGATATTTACTTCTTCTCGTCTCATTCAAACCGATTGCAAACAAAACCAGGATTCTTGTAGTCAGACACCTTGTTTTGAAATGATCCATGAGCATACACAGGCTACTATTATACAACAAGATGTTGGCTTACAAACCTCGCTAATTGATCAAACAGAACAGATGGTAGGTAGTGGTATTTTTGTTCACCAAGGTCAAGAAAGCAATGTTTAATTAGTTCCGCTTGTTTTTGTTTTTTTTCAGTGCGATAAAGATATCCAAACTGATCAAACAGCAGTTCTATCTACCGTGTACGATTCTGTAATTCATTCCTCTTTTCCTGCATATTCTTCAACCATTTATCTTACACTTCCATCCTATCGTGATTGTGTTGATGAAGCGATCCAATGTACAGATCCGTCTATACTTGAAACATCTTCATCAAAGCGTTTATCATCCATACTCTTACTACCATTAACATCAAATCGTTTGCCTCCACCTCCGTCATCAAGAAGATCAAATCGTCTATCAGATATTGATAATATCAAAAATACATCGATGCAAACTGAACAAGAGACAGATACCTCACTCGATGAGCGACAGCGTCTAGCTCAAGATATAGCAAGATTAAGAGAATCAAATGAGAAAAAAGATGAAACAATTCAATGGTGGATTGAATCTTCAACAAATGCCAAAATTAAGTGTAAAGGTAAGTTATAGTTTAGAAACATGATGCTGTAGTTTACCATAGCCTAAAATCGTGCTGATGTATCATCTTTTTTAGAATTAACAAAACAAATTCAACTTCTTTCCAAAAATCGTCGACAAACAGAAACAAATCTTCTGGATGTTTTAGAACAACTAACGTTGGTATGGAAAATAATGTGTTGTGAAAATGAGACAGACGATGGTGATAAAGAAAATTCTTGGCCACTGCCACCAGTAGGTGAATGTCTGAAAACGCCAATAAATGGTCGTTTATTATCAAATCAATCTATGTTTGATGAAAATATTGATGAGTCAAGTCTTATAACAAGAATAAATTCATTATGTCAATTGATTGTGGAGAGATTCCAAGTTGACAATAAGTGGCATATGGATTATGAAAAGGTATACACTTGACTACCATCTTACGTTTTTCATTGAAAAGATGAGATATTTTTAAGGGTATTTGTGACAATAATAAATTATGTAACGATGATAATAATCAAATAAAATTAATACCACTTGATATTGATCATTACAACGATGAATTAACAATGTTAAATAATCAATTAGACAAAGAACAGAATGCAAAGTAAACTTTTGACCTTAATATTTCATAAAAAGTAAGAAGATCATTAATTAATAAAAGTAAAATTTTTTCTTTAGATATGAATTAATTCAAAAACTCGATAAAGCCACACAATTAATAGAGCAAATGATGTGTGATCATAAAAGTGAAAAAAATGAACTTGAATTATTGTTAATGGGTAAAGATGAACAAATAACTAAACTTGTTTCAAAAGTGAGTAACTATTGAAGAAAGATATTTACTAATAGGTATAGAGTATTTTTATGTTTAAGGATATTGGTCATGCTAATAAAGAATATGATATTCTTCAACAATTAAATAATGAAAAAGAAAAAGAATTGAACAAAATAACGGGTACGATGAATTTGACATCGTAGAACGAAAAGCACTTTTATTACATATTATTTACCAAGAGTATTGACTTAATCAAAGAAATTTCGGAAAAATGATAGTTTACAATGACTACTTTTTCGTCAAAATTGATCGATATTAATAGAAATTACTCTAAAGTAAAGACAATGATCGAACAGGACCACTAAATCAGCTCTAATTTCGAAAATACTCATCAACATTTATATTCCCAATATATAAGAAATGTTAGAAAGTCTTTTTTTTTCAGAGGAATATGCTATGTTATATTATGAATATGAAGCGGAACGTCGTCGAAATATTGATTTATCAGAAGCTAAAGATCGTTTATGTGATCATATTAAAACGTTGTCAGACGAATTAGGAGATAAAGAAGTAAGAAAATTAAATTTTGAATAGATAAACTTTAAACTGTTCTGTTTTTTATGTATCTTTAGGTTAAACAGGAAAAACTAACAATTAAAAGTGGACAACAACATAAATTAATTCATTATATGTTGCCAAAAATCGATTGTACACCAACACCTAAGAAGGTATAGTTTGTACGATATACTATTACATGATAGAAACGACCTAAACTGCTGAATCGATATCCAAGTTTTTCGTTGAAACTTTCTCGCTAAATAGCAGCACGATATTTAGGAAGATTTATAACATTTTTTGACCGGAACTTCCATCCTTTAAAAGTTATGAAAACTTTCGTAAAAGTCCTAAAATCAGCCGAAAACGATAACTATATAAAAATGTAATTCATTTTGTTTACATCTCGATATAGAAAATAGATTAAAAGGTCACTTTTGCAGCATAAGTAGCTGAGATTGAGCACTATCTATCGATAGTCAAGAGCATGTGCAAAAATAAATGCCACATGAGTGCGGCACAGTGGGCATTTTTGGCTTAGGTAGCCGGACATGACCCTTTTTTTGAAATAAATACTTTTTTCACCTCTATTATTCTTCATCAGTCTAGTGACAGATTAAATACGAAAAAATTCATTCTCAAAGCAATAATTTTTTAATAGAAAACCATTGCGCTAAATTTTCGTCAAAAAAACATTTTATGAAAAACTGTTAATTATATATCATTCGACGTCGTTTCGCGCTCTGATTCCAAATATGTCATTACTCTTTAATAAAAGTGCTTCTGAACCGAGAAAAATAGCTTCTATCTAGTAAACCAAGCATTTTGTTGTTGTTTTTCTGAAAACCAATATCCAACTTTAGGAGAAAAACTGCACAGAACTGTTATCACCACAGATTCAGACTATGTCGATACCCATTCTTTGAAATTTTCAACGAATTTGGATCTTCGGAAAATTTCAGAAACTCATTACACTGAACATAGCTCTCGGAAAAACCGCCTCGTTTAGGAAAAAACTCTTTTTCGCTAAAAGGTTTGATCTGAGACGAACTTTTTCTTACCAATAGATAGCTGGAAGCGTCCTGATTCCAAATAACACGTTTGGATAATTTAAATGTAATTCAGTTCAATAAAAAATTGCTTTTACATAGAAGTCATGGATATACAAGGTATTTTTTCTTCAACAGTTTTTACACACAAATTCCTCGTTCGAAACAAAAATTTTTGCGCCATTAGATAGCCCATCTCAGACATGGGCGAGTCCGAGTCCGGACTGGAAGATTTTTTGATGGACTCGGGCTTGAGGTTTTGTAATAATTTTGTTCGGGAGACGGACATGGAGCATAACCTTATTTTCGAAAAATCAAATATCTATCCAGGGCTCAGCAAATTAAATATAAACCACCCTCATCAAAAACGAATCTAAAAGATTACCGGACTCGAAATGGACTCGGACCAGAGGTCTCAGATTATTTTTTTCGAATGGGGGACAAATGGGGGACGCTTATTTTAACGAAATAATGTCGTCGCAATCTAAAATACCCGATGGACTCAACTATACACTTTTTTAAAAATGAAATATATTGTGGATCTTTTAACCACTTATCGCTAAAATTACACTGCCGTTTTGAGGATGGGACGAAGCTGTTGAGTTTTGTTTTGTTGTCGTCAATAATTCTTTTGGTTGTTGTTTGTTTCTCACTTGCACAGTCTACATTCTCACGAGCGGTCGTTTCTTCTTCTAGTTGTAATTTAGAGTTCATTCTTTCAAAGCTAATTTTTCGAATTTCAAACAAAAGATTTTCTCCCTAAAATTAGGTTTTATCCACAAATTCATATGACACATCTAATAAACTCTGAGACGCGTACGACAGAAAGAGTGATGTTTTTGTAGACGGCTCGAATCCCATAACTCTATTTGCTACAAACTATCCAAATACCTATATGATAATGAGTTTCATGACAAGATAGGTTAAATAGGCATAGATCTTTGCCGATTAGATAATAACCCGCCAATCAATACTTTTCCTGTCAAACATGGCGCATAAGTAGTATGACTTCAAAAAAATTGC